GCTTGTGTAAAAATACTAAAACAATTATTCGCCTCAGGCTCGGTGATTATCGGGAAATATTCACCTCGACTTCGTCTCGGCGAATATTCCCCGATAATCACCTCGCCTTCGGCGAATAATTGTTAAATGTTCAGGTGCATGAAATAATAAAAATATATCAAATATGAAATATCACAAGAAATACTTTATTCTCTCACAAAAATCATGCCAAAACATGCAGTACGTTTGAGTACTAGTATGTATTCATAAGCATGTGACATATTACTTTCGCGTCAAAATTTTGGTAGATTTATTTGACAAAGGAAGAACATTTCCTTGAAATTTCCTTGAGATAAAAAGCGGTTTTCACAAAAAAAATCGTTGTGCGCATAGTCAAAGATGACTAATGCGCTGACCAGAAACTTGGCCTAAATGTCAAAAACAGACCTGGAAAAAAGTGGGATCTCGGGATCCTGAGGAACATTTGCCTTAGCAACAAGATTGACGAACATTTTGAATTTATCACGCGTACTGTAAGGGAGAATTTTAAGGAATCATATTTAGTTATCTGCCATTTGAGTCTATTTTGAGATTGCGAAGTGTTCTTCATATCCTGTTAATAGAATTTGAAGATTGTTTTGTTTCCTCAGCCATTTTTGCAACCAATATAATTGAGGAACATTTGAAAAAGGCAAATTCAGGATCCAAGGAACATTGAACACTTCTTCCAGGTCTGGTCAAAAACAACAACTGCTATCAACCTTTTTGCGTGAGGTGGTCGCGTTCGCGTAAAACTGCTGTGTCATACTCTTCTAAAATGTCCACTAAACTGAAAATTCTTCAAAATTTGTGACAACTTTATTTTAGTAGGGTAGTTTGGGGTCTTCAGGTTTGGGGTTTTCAAATAGGGTTAGGGTTTATTCTGAAAAATTTTCGTGCACCAGGCCTGTTTTCCAAAATCAATTTAAAGATGACTTATGTACAAAAATATGTCAGGTTGAAAACGCAATTTGAATTCATAGGGAGCAAACTTGGAAGGTGTTTTATGAAAGTACCATATCAAAGTACCATACAATTTGATCATAGACAATTTGATCATGTCTTCTGGATTGTCTATGATTCGATATACATCACGTCCTACGCGCGACTTCTAAAACTTGGATATTTTGCCATAGTAGCCTTTACGCATAATTTATCATGACTGATTTCTTACATTCTCTTTACAAAAAGTTTAATTAAAGGGAAATGGCAATATATTTTTTTATTTTCTCATTTGAAAGAACTTTTGAAACTATTTAATAACTTCTTTTACCGACTCTTCATATCTTGCTTAGTTCTTGAAATACTTTCACTTGAAGTAATGAGATGTCAGCCATCTTGGATAAATTTATGATCTCATTAACGGTAGTTTTGGTGACGTGACAACAGGGATTAACCATATAAAAGTATTCGTTGCTGACCAAATATTGATTGGCAGATGTTTTAAAGGTTTCAAGTGATCTTGATATTTCCAAGGGCATACAGAGTATAATTTTGAGTGCAAAATGATTAGTGGTTGTCTATGTAGATTCTGTGACCCCTGTTGTGACGTAACATGCATATCTACAAAAATCCAAGATGTATTGTACACAGCTTAAAGATGATGTCCACTCCTGTGCACATGCGCGAACCTTGTTTACGTTTTGAACTGCTATATTTGTAAAATATGATATACTATACTAACTGAATACCGTAAACCTCAGACTATAAGCCCTGGGCTTATATACTTTTGTAAGCGATTTTTGATGGGCTTATACAAGGGGAGGCTTATATACGGGTGGGCTTATACATGGACGATCTTTTGTGTTAGTAATAAACAAGTCAGACATAAACAAGTCAGTCATAAACAGGGAAATAAACGTGTATTAAGCAGCGATTACTGGGCTTATATTAATTGGGGGACTTATATTCGGGGGGCTTATATTCGGGTGGGCTTATATTCGGGGGCTTATATTCGGCTATATATTGGAATGATGTGAGCGTTAGTACATGTGGTGAGCTTATACACAGGGGGCTTATATTCGGGGGGGGGGGGCTTATAGTCGGAGGTTTATGGTATCTAACACTTTTCTGGCTCACTATTCTTGTAAATGAATTAAACTGTACGTTTCAATTCCAAAATGTTCGAAAGATGCAAAATTTGGGCAATGTTTATATCTGGGGGTCATCATCTTTAACACAAAACATGGGCAAATATTATGATCTATAAACTCAAACAGTCTGTGCGAGCATAGGTAGTGACAATAGCAAAACTGTTATTAATTCTTCTTGTTACAGTATTTGATCAAACAAACCGACCTCAGTCTGGCAATATGTCAAGTGGTGGAAACCATTTAATCAGTTAGGCATCAATTGGCAGACTGGTACTATAACGAGGCCTCATTAACATTTTTTCGTGCTTGCAAAACCTGCATGAATGCATGCTTCCCCTCCCCCGAAAAATGCAGAAATGTGATGCACAGTAGGATCGACTACATTCCTATTTTCTATGTTATACTGATAAAATATCAAGCTATTATTAGCACAGGAGCAATAATCTCAGAATAACTTCTCATGAGCGAATCAGATTTTGCCATTTACAAGAATGATGTTGATTTCACAACATTAGGAATGTATATTTTGCATTCCTAATGTTGGACCCCCCAGTTTTGGTAATAATTTGGGAATGTCAGTGATGTAGTGGAATTTGGGAATGCATGTCAGTGATATTTTGTTTGTCTGGCATGTTTGCTCTTATTTAACCCAGTGACTCAGTGAGTGCCAGCTAGTGCATGCTCTCTCCTTGACAAGTACAAATTGTCTGGTGTTAATTAGACAGAGTAAAATAATAAAGTAGGGTGCATTAGGGCACAAAGCAACTTAATTAATGGGTTGACTAGACACACATGTCAGGCAGATAGTTTGATTAATGCAGTGAGCACCAGCAATCTTTCCTTGACAAGTAAAATTGTCAGGTGTATGTCAGCTAGACAGAGCAAAATAATAGGGTAGCTATAGGGTGCATAATGGCCCAATGCAACTTAATGGGTTAACAGCTATGCCACAACCACAATGAAAAAAATTACAATGTGCTCACTGGCACTAATTATTTAGTTTAATTTCAATAAATCAACATAAAAATCATGCAGAGTTGGTATGTTAATACAGGCACCACCTAATGTGAACCCAATGACCCTTGCTTTATCATTAAGGGATGGTGTCAGGTGTGGGGGTTATTGGCCCATTTCTCCTGCTAACTTACTTATTAATAGTGGTTTAGACTACACACTAGAGCAAAAGTTTCCCGATTTGTAAAAGTATCTGGATTCCTTGTTTTTCAAGCATACAGATCCGTGAGGTGTTTACACTACACAGCCCAAACACAGCGATGGTCAATATAAAGTAAATAATTTTAACCCTCTCAGTGATATTATGCGATGTTTTGACTCTGTTTGGTGGTTGAATTTAATAGCAATAAATTTGAAAAACATACACCGGAACAATTTGATTCAGATTCTTTATGGAAAACCGTTTACACGAGAGTTTTCTCCATATTCAAATGTTTCCGGATACGAAGTTCCCACAAACTTTTCCAGATTCAAAGTTTCCGGACACGGCCCGAAACCGAGAATATTTACTATCGAATTTGTCTCTGCGTGTGTAAACGGCAACATGAATCCGCGGTACTAAAACATTCCGGTTTTCGTGATGAATGCGAAAACTTTTGCTCTAGTGTAAACAGGGTCTTAATGTCCAATACTTTGTACCTATGACAAGTGATTAATCATCTGGCATTTGAAAGAGAGAGTAATTTACTGCATTGTGGCTCAATATGCATAGGGCAAAAATACAATAGGAATAAAGTAAATTATATAGGATCAAGATTTTGTAAAATAACACATCATTATATACCGAGTAACTGTGATTTCAACACAACCCATGACTTTATACTATTATTCCTTCCAGTATATGTAACATGTGGTACTTTATGTTAATTCCCCTGAAATTCTACAAGTTGTGACAAGTTTGCAGTTCTGATATTGTTCTATAAATATTCGGTATATCACGTATATGCTCAAGCCAGAATCAATAGAAAATTAATAAAAACAGCAGGAGAATATTTGTTTTTATGTTCGCCATGCACAGTTATTTCTCAGCCTATGACATTAATCACGCCTATAAATTCATCAGAGAAAGCGCTTATAACATTATAATGCATGATACTTCCTTCCATTATCGAATGAATCGAAGATTCTATCACTTTTAACACGAAATATTTAAACAATGGTCAAGAACGTTCAGTAAGCAACAAGTCTCAGGCGCTTTTGAATCGAAGTCTCGAGTAAAATCTTGTTATTCTTGTATTAATATTTATATCCAAAACATCGTCGTAGATGAACGGCTGACATTTTCATTGATTTGCCCCAGGAAGTGTACATCTATAATAATACTCAACTTACTTCTCTTTTGAACGTACACCGGCGGTTAGCTCAGTTTTATCCTCTGCTTGCGATCGTTCTACAAGAGAAAATCCACTATAAAGGACAACTTTCACGATCCAGTTAAATATTAAGCATGTTTAACCTACAAAATCTATTAAAATCAAACGACATTTGATATGCCATATTATGAATATAAACATCAGATGACAAGTAATCGCGATAAAATTAATTCACTAACATGATGTGACAATACTTTACCGTAAAGCTGTCTGTTCAATGCAAAATGTGACGGGTCCATTGGGAAGTCAATTTGTATCCAATTTTCTAAAGCTACCGATCATTGTTTTAGAAACAGGACTATCATTTTGGCTGCAATTATGGTGTAATTTAACAACAAATCCCATTCAAGTTAATAAAATTCAACACTAATTTCCCACGCGTGCAAGAGGGTGCATCTCACGGGACCCACGCAAATTAGAAAAATTATGCAAATAATTATGCATTCTTTCACTTTCCTGATTAGGGGCCGACAAGTAGTCTCCTACGCAGCCTGTTCGCGGGCAGCCTAGTCCCTAGGCCTCTTAGTTCGCCTATTGCGCGTTTCTGCATATTAATGAGGTGACGGCTCCTGAGAGGCCTAGAATAAAATGTTTCAAGTGAGCCAAAAGTGGGGACAAAGTGTCCCCACTTGCTGTATTGAGATCAGTGGCTTGCGAAAATGGCGCCGTTCTCATGAGCGAGTAAAATGTTTTAGATTTGTATCAAATTGACTTTTATATTTGCGACAAGTTGGATTAAAATTTTGTGGTTTTAATATATATTGAATAGAAGCAGTGGTACATAAATTAATATACTGAAAAGACAATATAGTAAAGCGGAATTGATGCTAACAAAAAACAAGAAATCGGTGAGAAATATTTTTAATATAGAAGGTGAGAATTTATTTATCGATATCCTGGGATAACTCTGCTGTAATGTAGAATATTAACTAAATACATGGTAAATATAGTAATGATTTTTATCAATGCACTATTGAAATGCATGTGTTCACCTGTGTTAACTAGAACGTTTGAATATTTGCGAGCTTTGAGCAATGTGTTGTTAAGAATTTATAGATCAAAATATAGATCTGTTATGTACTTGCCAACAATTTTTTGTTTGATGTTTAGGAAATGTTTTACCTGTGGCAGAAAATTTAAATGGTGCCATACAGGCATATACAGGGACAGTTGTCAAGAAAATATATAATTAAACAAGGTCATATTTGAAGAATTTGGTGAAAGTGGTATTTGTGAATGACAAAGTTCAGGCAAAAGACATATTGGACAACATGGATGTACATAATTTTGCTGTTCATTTATTTCATCAAGTCAGGAACTGGCCGAACTGCAGTCTGCATAGTGTCATGTTTGTAATATTTTCAAACAAGATTCACCTGATCACCACCCAACAATGGCTTGTTGTTGGACTTCCGGGAACACCGGTATTCTAGTTTATATTCAAATGTTACTTGTTCGAACTAGTTTGTGTTAGAACATTCACAAGGTACAGCATCTAATTCTTATTAGTATGTAAAAACTGAAGCAACAATTTCAACACGAACACTCAGGCAGGCACATGTGAACAGGAATAGAATAAAATTTGGAGGTTAATATTGTTAATTTAATACATAATAATAAATGTATTTATTGTAATAAAATTATTATAAAATTTATTATTATTAAAATTATTATTGAATTTTTAATTTATTAAATTGTTGAATATGATATTATTACAGCTCCATTAAGCAGAAATAAGCCCCAAAGCATCATCTTTGATTAGTTACTCTTTCAGAGAAAGCATCTATTACAATTATTATTTTTTTATATGCATGTAAAATATCCAAAAACTGTCTCCATGACAGGTTGCAAATCACTTGAAGGTGAGAAAGGCCAATAAACCAATCCAAGCCCTCTTCAACAGATATCTCTTGTGATACATGTCACTGGAATATTGCTTAATTTTTATATTGCACTCAGTGATGGTTGCTTTTCCAGAAAAATGACTTTGTACACTTTACCATCAACCTGCATCAAATCACTATATAATCATAATAATATTAATACTCAATACAAGTACTCTTTATTGCTGTGGATATTGTTACTGCAATATTTGCCTTTTATGCTCAAATGAATCCACATCTCTATGAACAAAAGAGGCAAATTGTCCTGGCAGTGCACCATTTAACACCCGTATTCTAAAAGCTCACTCACACTCAGTGAGTGGAGGTTCAATCTGAGCTTGCCTTGAGTGTCAATGTTATTTTTGAACAGCTGGAGGGCTAGTGTCACCTCGTACTCAGTGACTACTTACCTTCCCTATTCCAAAACAGCATTGACACTCAAGAGAAGCTCAGATTGAACCTACACTCATCGAGTGTGAGTAAGCTTTTAGAATATGGGCATAGATCTCTATTTAAATGCATCTATAGGCCATCTAGCAGGAATCAAACCTGTGTCTCTGCGGTTCCGGTCCAGTGCTCTAAGCTACAAAGTTCAGGTGTCAAGCTCTAACTGCACGTTCATGTATATATACAAAAGTAAGGGTGCAGCTGGTTGGATTCCTGCCAGAGGGCCTGTAGTTGCATTTTTCACAACTGCCCTTGGTCAGGACTCATAAATGTATAAACTTTACACTCAAAATATTTATCTACAAAACCTTTCAACAGTTAGTTCTATCAAGTGAGATGCACTTAGTGAACTCAGTCAACAGATGATGATCAGGGTGCTACTAAATATAGTCAAAAAAATGTTACAATTTACTTTAAATTTACGTCATTCCTGAAAGAAGTTATTATAATACCTTATTATTTACATTGTACAACCATAATATCTTTAATACTCACGTTTACCTACAAATATTCTGCATATTCTTCCATGTTTATACAATTTTATATATTCTGGAATTCCGCCATATTGGAAAACATTTACGGGATTTACCAAGCCCGCGAACACCTGCTTTGCAGGCTAGAAAACGTTTTGTGCTAGTCCTCTTGCGCGCGTTTCGCTCGGTGACGTCACGGAAATCAAAAGCGTGCACAGAGGACTTGGGACTAGTCTGGTTCGCGGGTCCGAGGTTTAAAACCTCGGACCCGCGAAC